ACAAATGATTTTTACACTGATATAAAACCTGACCTTTCATCATACTTTGATACCTCAGATTATGATGCAAATAATATTTTTGAATATCCAAAATTAAATAAAAAGAAATTAGGTTTTTTTAAAGATGAAAATAATGGTAAAATCATGAAAGAATTTGTGGGTTTACGATCCAAAATGTACGCTTTTAACTTAGAGAATAAGACTATAGCCAAGGCAAAAGGGGTAAATAAATGTATCACTAAAAAGATGACAATGAATAGTTATAAGTCTTCTCTATTTAATAAAAAAGTGCAATATTATAGTATGCTTAGATTTAAATCAATTAAACACACAATTTTCACACAAAAATTAAATAAGATAGGTTTATCATATAATGACACAAAGAGACATATTTTAGATAATAATATTGAAACATTAGCTTGGGGTCATTATAAACTGCGTTAAGTGTTGATAGTTTTTACTTTTATGTCTGCGTTTAAGAAAAATTTATATTGATTGTAAAATTATGATAATACTATAATATGACGTAGTTTATTACATATTTAATCATTGTTTTATTGTAAATAATTTAAGTTAATTGTTGTTTCTATTTATTTGAGGTTGAGTTAATTGTAAAATTATGATGTACTAATTGTTGTTTCTATTTATTTGAGGTTGAGTTAATTGTAAAATTATGATGTACTAATTGTTGTTTCTATTTATTTGAGGTTGAGTTAATTGTAAAATTATGTGTTAGAAATAGTATACAGATAATTCTGTTTTATATAATTTTTGGAATATATATTAATTGTTTACACCAACACTTTCATTTTTTATTTCACCCCTTTGAACTTTAGACGTGTGTTATGTTTCACTTTATCCATCCGTTCACTGCTATTGTGGCAGGACCAAGTGGGTGTGGGAAGTCAAATTTTGTAACAAATTTCATAAAATCAGTTACAGAAATATGTAATTGTGATTTTAATCAGATCACATGGTGCTTTGATGAAATGCAACCATTATATAATTTACCAAATGTTAACTATCATCAAGGAATTCCAAATCTTAATATGTTTGATGGTGAAAACCCACATCTTGTTATTATTGATGATCTAATGAGAGAGTCCGATGGAAGAATTGTGGATATATTTACAAAAGGTAGTCATCACAGGAATCTTAGTGTATTTTATCTAACACAAAATTTATTTCATCAGGGTAAAGGACAAAGAGACATATATTTAAACTCAAGTTATATAATATATTTTAAAAACCCTCGAGATAAAACTCAAATAAGATATTTAGCAAGACAAGTATCACCAGATAACCCAAAATTCATTGAAGATGCCTACAGGGATGCAACTCTAGAGGCGCATGGATATTTAATGGTAGATTTAAAACAGAATACCAATGATTTTTGTCGTATCAAGACAAATGTCTTTCCATTTAATGGTTTCTGTACAGTCTACGTCCCCACAAAAGAGTTTAAATACACCAAGAATCAAACAATTGAAATCATTGCTAAATGATGCATCGTCGACTCACAACGTATAAACATTTGCTAACCGCTTTGCATACGCTTAAACCAAAATATCAAAGAGCATTACTTAAAACGTGTGATGAAGAAGAAATTAACTGTATTTGTGAGTGTATTCATAACGTTTTACAAGGAAAAGTACCTCTTAAAGATCAGGATAAACAAAAATTGAATAAACATAAAAACATACTCCGTAAACTAGTACGTAAGTGTAAACATAAACTAAGAAAAAATATAATTATACAAAAAGGAGGGGCTTTCTTACCAACAATATTAGGTGCAATATTGAGTGGATTAGTGAGTGGACTAGCCAGTTAACATGGAAAATGCAAAGAAAATGATACTTATCGAACCTGGATTGATTGAAAAATTAAAACAAAAAATAAGTTTAATAGTAATTTATCTCGATTAGATATTGAAATGCAAAATATTATGAATAGTAAGACGGAAGACCGAAAGAAATGGATATTATATTTACAAACACTGCAAAGATACCTTCATTTTACCGAAGAGGATCGTCAACCACTCAAATTACCAATTTATTCTGATACATCTAATGAAGATTCAAATGAGTCAAAAATTGGTTTTAAAAATAAAGATAGAGATCTAAAAACTTCAGTTGATATTGAATCTTTGCTGGAGGAGAATCGATCCATTAAAAGTAAAGAAAATGATGAAAATCCACTTTACACACCAGCTCAAATACTCAGTTTAATACCAAAAACTTATCATAAAAAAGGGCAGTTATTATTAAACTTAGTTGAAACAAGTAAAAGTAAAATACATTGGGATAATGAAGGTACAGTCATAATTGATAGTGAAAAAATTCCTGGAAGTAATATTGTTGATTTAATAAATGATTCACTAAGACCCCTAAAAAGAAGTTATCCGGTAGGGTGGGTTAGATTTGCTGAAGCATTAAAAGATATTAAAGTACCACTTACTTATATTGGAAATCCAAGGAGATGTGAGTTTATTAACCAACTTCAAGCAAAAGATCTGAACAAACCCTCTGAGATTGAAGTTCAAGAGTTTTCTACACCGGGCAGTAGAGATAAAATGTCTACAACTAAAATACGTAAAGGACTTGAGTGGGAAAAATGGACCCCGTACTAGAAGAAATTAACAGGATTTATTATGATCCATCTAATCCCGCTGGTTTTGGTAGTATTGATAAATTATCAAAAGCCATGAAGGGTAAAATGAATAAAAAGCAAGTAAAGGAATGGTTAAAATCACAAGAAACATACACATTACATAAACCCATTCGAAAAAAATTCCCGCGTAATAGGTACATTCTATCAAATATTAATGAACTGTGGCAAGCTGATTTAAGTGATATGCGAACTTATTCTCAATATAATGATGGTTTCAAGTATATACTTGAAACCATCATTATATTTATTAATATAATGATGGTTATATTAATAAATATAATGATGAAATATTATATTATTGTGTTATTGATGTATTTAGTAAATATGCTTTTGCAAGACCAATGAAAAAGAAAAACTCAGAAACAACTAAAGAATGTTTTGAAAGTATATTTACTGAAAGTAATTTAACACCTACTCACATACAATCCGATAAAGGTACAGAATTTGTTTCAAAAGATGTACAAAAATACTTTAAATCCAAAAAGATTAATTACTATACCACTAACAATCCTGACATTAAGGCCAGTATTGTTGAACGATTTCAAAGAACACTAAAAATGAAAATGTGGCGTTATTTCACTCATAATAATACTTATAGATATATAGATGTTTTACAAGATTTAATATACTCTTATAATCACAGCTTTCACTCTAGTATTAAGATGTGCCCATGTGATGTAAATTCCAACAATATTATGACAGTTTGGACTAATCTTTATGATAGACGGTCAAAAAAACTTTCTTTAGAAAATCCTAAACCAAATTTCAATGTGGGTGATTATGTTCGAATAACTAAATATAAACATGTATTCCAAAAAGGATATGAATCAAATTGGAGTGATGAAATATTTATTATATCTTCAATAATTGATAGATCTCCATGGGTTGTTTATACAATAACAGATTTACAAAATGAACCAATAATTGGTACTTTTTATGAAAGAGAATTACAGAAAATCACTTACAACCCCACCTCACAACATAAAATAGATAAAATAATTGACACTCGTTATTCAGGTAACAGAAAAGAAGTATTAGTGAAGTGGAAAGGTTATCCAGATAAATTTAACAGTTGGATTTTAGCTTCTAGTTTAAAAGAAATATGAATAAAGAAAGTTTCTATTTAACTTTGCTCAGCAATAGTTCAATGGAATACTTTCCTGATAACAAGACCACAAATTTTTCAACGAAATTACCAAAAGCTATAAAATTAGAAGGTGAATGGTCGGTTGGAGTTGTCGAGTTTCAATATCCATGTACCATGTTTACTGTTCAAGACCATGAAAATGTTATATACATTACAAAATCTATGTTAATGCCTAATGAAGATAAACCATCCACAGTGTACTACAAAAAACATATTCCAGCTACCAACTATGATAACGTTGAGCATATTTTAAGAGTGTTAAATGGTATCGGAGAGAACTTGAAATTTCGCTATGATGAAATAACAAAATTTGTGTCTATTTCGGTATTGGATAAAAATATAACATCCGTAACATTATCACCCAAATTAAGTTTACAGCTAGGTTATGAACCAAATAAAAATCTCCTAGAGAGAAATTTTGGAAAGTGTCCTGCTAATTTACACTTAGGGTTACCATCTCAACTATTTCTATATTGCGACATTATCGATCCTCAGATTGTGGGTGATGTTATGACTCCTTTATTAAGAGTCATTTCATTAGATCCTACAAAATACATTTATGGTGCAAATAAAATGCACGTTTTCTCTCAACCTCACTACTTACCTGTTATGCGAAGAGAGTTTGATACGCTGGAAATAGTTATAAGATCGAGTACAGGACAAAAAATACCATTCCAGTTTGGAACCGTGTGTATTAAACTACATTTCCGAAAATTATAATAATGAATTCTCTTCGTGATCATCATAAATGTCCATATGAAAATTATTATACACATCAAGCTGGATCAGGAGTTGGAGTAATTTATAAGGGTTCACCATATCAACGCGGTCATGGTATTGGGAGCTTCTTAGGGGGGTTATTCAGATCAGTTTTACCTTTACTTTCAAGTGGTGCTCGAGTGATTGGTAAGGAAGCATTAAGCGCTGGAGTAGGACTTTTATCGGATATGGTTCAAGCCCGTCCTATGGAAGCCTCAATAAAAGATCGTCTAAAGCAAGTTAGTACGAATTTAAAACGAAAGGCTGATGAGAAAATTGATCAGTTTAACATGACTGGATCTGGGTATAAAACTAAAAGAAAACGATTGACATCGTTCATTCCACCATTAACTGCTAAAGTGAAAGCTGCGAAAAAACTTTGTCTAAAACCAAAAAATATCAAAGATATATTTTCAAACTAAATATGTCTTTCCTTCATAATCATTCTTGCGAGTGCGTTAAGTCAGAATTGGATTTGTTTGCACTACCGTCTACACAAACTAGCATTGAAAATGGATTGTGGATTCATTATAAACCAATTTCATCTCTTGGTGATGATGGACCTATCGAGTTTCAAGTTCCTGGGACCGGCGATGACTACATAGATTTGTCTCATACATTACTCCACATAAAGGCAAAAGTATTAAATCAAGATTCAACTAACTTGGTATCTACTACAATAGTAGCACCTGTAAATAATTGGCTGCATTCACTTTTTAGTCAACTTGATGTTTATTTAAACCAAAAACTTGTATCACCACCTAATAATACCTATGCATATCGAGCATACATGGAAACCCTTTTAAACTATGCCCCTGCTGCTAAACAATCTCATCTTACTTGTAGTCTTTGGTATGAGGATACAGCAGGAAAAATGGATTCTACAGATGGTAAAAACATAGGATTTGTTAAAAGACAGGAATTGATTAGTGAAAGTAAGGAAATAGAAATGATTGGTCATCTTCACGGTGACATTTTTAACCAAGATAAATTTTTAATTAATGGTGTTGAAATGAGTGTTAAATTGGTTCGATCAAGCGAGAGTTTTAATTTAATTGTTGGGTCAAACGATGTAAAGTTTAAAGTTTGCATTACGTACGCAACTCTTATTGTTCGACGAGCACGAATTAATCCAAGTGTATTACTCGCACATCAAAAAGTTTTAGCTTCTACCACTGCTAAATATCCTATTACTCGAGCTGAAGTAAAAGTTTTAACAATTCCTTCGGGTGTTCAAGGAAAAACTCTTGATAATATATTTTTAGGACAGGTACCGAAAAGATGTATAATTGGATTTGTGAACAATTCTGCATTTAATGGTTCCCTTACTAAAAATCCATTTAACTTTGAAAACTATGGTATTAATTCTTTCAGCTTATATATTGATGGTCAACAAATACCTTCAAAAGCTTTGCAACCATCTTTTAATAATAGCATATTTACATCAGCATATCATACTCTATTCTCGGGAACTGGTATTCACTTTCTTAATGAAGGAATTGGAATCTCTTGTGAACAGTATGGCAAAGGTTACTGTCTATTAGCATTTGACTTAACTCCTGATTTATCAGCTAACTCATCAACTCATTGGAATCTCATAAAGCATGGTAGTGTAAGAATAGAAGTACGATTTGAATCCTCATTAATACAAACAATTAACTGTATAGTTTATGCTGAGTTTGATAATATTATTGAGATAGATAAAAACAGAAATGTTACTGTAGACTATAGTAGTTAAGGTTATAATATGTGTTGTGTGTTAGATTTTATGTGTTATGTGTAATGCATTTTGTGTGTATGTAACTATGTGAAACGTTATAAAATTAAATAAAACAAATTGTATGCAATATATTTTTTTTTATTTCTTTATAAATCTTCTATTTAATCTAATACAAAACACTGTTCGAGTTGAAATTTTACATAAGCACACTGACTAAACCACTGAACATGCTGCTGCCAAGGATCATCATCATCTTCCCAATCTTTTAAACCACCACCACAATGGAAACACTTGGTCCCGTCTGCATGACCAGTATAAAAGAAACCAGCTTCTGCAAGATCTTCAGGTTTCTGTCGCATAACGAGAGGCCAGTTTTCGAAACTAAGCAAACGGCTAGATTTTGAACTGAAGAATGGATATTCAGCTCTTGAGTACTGCATACTCTTCTCGTTTTCTTCTCCACTCAGTGTTGTAGTTTTGTTATTCAATGATGTGTTTTGTACACGTATGCCACACTCATCTCTTCCTTCCGCTCTTGTCTTCCTGTAATTGAAGTAAACAGAATCACATTCACTAATGATCAGCTAATGACTGTCATTGTTAAAAAAGTATTTTTTAACTTTTTCACTTTCTGCTATTGTCTTTGTTATATTGTATACGAGGGTGTTTGTGTTGTCGTAGATGCTATCCTTATTAGTCTTTACGTAATATTTAATTCTCGTGGAAGCATGTTTCCAATGATCAGTAGTTGGAATCTTGGATAGCTTCTTCATATCGTACATTTCAATTTTGATGAGATGCGTCGCTTGGTCTCCGTCGTCAGAATCAGTAGAAATGTATGATACACCATCTCTAGCGGCTCGTGCTACGGTTGATGATAACAGCTTCCTCTTTTTTATTTTTGATTCAGCTTCAAAAAAATGATCAATCGATTGCGATTTTATTTTTCCACCATCGCATGTGTTATTATTAATGACGAGGTCATCACTCTCTTCTTGAGGGGAGAGTGGCGAGTAGTAATACTGTTTATAGGTATTTTCATCGAAGCTCAATGATTTCTGCAACAACACAGTTATCATGTTAATATCAATTTGTTAACACTTAATCATAAAAGTTAAAAAAGTTAAAGTTACAGCCTATTAAAGTCCACTGTTGAACATAGGCCTCCTCTCATTTCTGAGAGGGTTTTAGGGCAAGGAAATGTCCGCCGCGCTGCCTCAATGTGTGTTGGCGAACTTCACATGCCTTCGAAATTTTCTCAGACATGCAGGTTTCCTCACGATGTTTTCCTTCACCACCAAGCACGTGGTAATAAGCACTTAAAATTGCGATTAACAATTTAATTGGTGCTGGCGGGGATCGAACCCGGGTCGCGTACTGTGAAATTTACAGCTAGCGCTAACCATCTGAGTTACCACGGTTTAATCATATACATACACAATATTTAAATAAAATAATACACACGCATGAAAATAACAGAAAAAAAGTAATTTAGTCAATAGAATAAACACTTACATCCATAGCCTTTGGTGCATTGAAGTAACACAAATGTACTATTGATAGATTCACTGCAGTCAAACGACCATACACTAACTCGATGACTGCGTCTGTTGGTCTTATATACCACCAGTACGTAAAAATTCTAATCTAAAGTATTTCCGTAATGAGTTGATAATTACTTTATGCGTCAACCAGTTTATCTCACATTTCCGTTGCCTATCTCAACATTTCTTCGTATTGTGTTTTGTTTGGTGATCAATGACTCAAGTACGATTTGTATAACACAAAAATGCAATTTAATATTTAGAAATCACTATAATTGACCATTCCTATGTTATTCATTGAGTAGATTGGTACTGTAATAATCTACTAATAGCAGTAATATCATGGATACACTAGATGTACAACAACATCTGAAAAAGATTCACCCCAGTCTAGAAAATAATGTTTATGCAGCTAATAGACTGCCTATGTATACCCACGTACCAACGTATATAATATGCAATTTGGATACAGATGATAAACCAGGGTCACATTGGGTAGCTTTATATATCGATACGAATGACGTCGGTCAATATTTTGATTCATATGTACGATATCATCTAGAGTTTTTAAAAAGGAATTGTAAAAGATGGAACTGGAATGTTGATAGGATTCAGAATGAGTGGACTTCAGTTTGTGGCGAATATTGCTTAATGTATTTGCTATATAAGTTTCAGGGATGTTCAATACATAGTTTTACGAGTATATTTACAAGGAACACATTGTACAACGATATTTTAGTGGATGAGATGTTTCGCTCCTATTTTATAGATAATAAGTAATAAGATTTTGTATTTTATAAATAAAAATTGTAACAAAATTATGTAATGTGTTTTATTGATGATTCAGATTAGCGTTGTATAATTAGGAACAAAGAAGTATAATACAATAGCACTGATATAGTCGACGCACACGCTGCAATGAAGGTGATTAATGAACAATAGAACAATAGAAATAGGAACAATGGGACGCTAATGACGGTGGAAGCCCTTACCGGATATCAATTAGATATTAGCTAATTGATTTGCACATCTCCGGAACCGTGCATCCCACACAAAAATGGACCGCAGATTCGAAACCTTTTTTTTTTTTTAGGATCGTGTGTCGACGAACGTCGTTGAACCGCTTCTGACTCAGATGGTCCAGAAGTGGTACAACTTCACTACTACAATTAATATAGCTGCAGCATGGCTCTACCACGTAGGAATATTTTGACTTCTTTTGACTTCTTTCAACAGTGAATTGTCGAAAGAAGTCAAAAGGCTTATGAGCTGGCATTATAAAGGAAAGAGGGGGTATAACATCTATGTATATAAAATAGAGAAGGGAATGATAGGACGGGTAACCTAACCTAACCGAATCTAACCATCAAGTTCACAAGTACTTAAATAAAAAAAGATTAAAAAAATATGGCCTACAAAAACATTATTCTGTATGTGTCCATGTAAAATTTATAGGTATGCAAAAATAGTCCAGGAAATGAAGCATTTTGGCTCGCAATTTTTTCTTCCACCATGGATTTACTTGAAATTTTCACAGAAGGTAGGGAATAGATCAAGGATCATTGTCTATATCATGCCGCTGTACGCTAGAGCCTTGGGGGTGGTTGCCATCCCATCTCGGGAGTGGAATTTTTTTATTACATTTTAACTATTGGAATCGACGGAAAAAGTAATTCTAAGAAAAAAATGTTATATACGTTTTTTTCTTAAAACTAATGTTTTTTGACTTATTCAAAGTTGAAAGAAAGAGTTTTTTGCAAAGACGTATTAAAAAGATAGACAGGTTACACACTAACATTATTGTATTTTAAAGTGGCGCAGGTTGTACTATATCTATGTACAGTTATTTATTATGACACGTTGCGCTAACAAAAAGAGACAAATGATAGGGCATACCTATCGTTAGAAAAAGATGAATATACATCATTAGTTGCGTATTGATTGCTGCCGAGCGCTCATTGGCGCGAGCGCGTGACTACCGATATGGAAAATGAACACACTAGCTAGCGTCAAAGTTTACTCTACCGGTTAGTGTTGAAATAATATAACCAATTATATATATAAAAATATTTGTGAGACGTTTTTCTTGTCTCTAATAGTTGCCGTGTAATTTGTGCACCACTTAAAAACACAGGGAGGCATTTTTGCCACGAATAACTAGAAGTTTTACGTGTTGTAGCGAAGGTATAGCCGCGACGCGAGTGTGTGCCCGACTGAATGCAAGTCGGGGAATTACCTTACTTTCGTATTGCCATTTTAGAGCGAGTATGACGTATCTATACCTTTAAAAACATCTTAGGTTTTTTGACGAAAAATTCGACTTTTTTAAATGGTTTTTTTGCGAATAACTCTAAAAATATGCATTTTATCAAAAAAGTGTAGAGAGCCAAATTGTAGCTTTTAAAAAAAAACCAATGCATTTTTTTATAATTTTCCTACGACAAATATGAACTGAAATACTTACAGCAAATTAATGCTTAGCTTTTTTCGTCAAATGCATAAATTGGAAGATTTAAAGAGAAATAACGAGAAAAATTTGCTGTTCGCGCCACTCGGGCGCGACGATTGATTCCCTGATTCACTTTCTCTCTCTCACTCATTGATTCGGCGCGAGCGCTGTATCGCGTCAGTCGCAACCCCGGAAGCGAGTCACGCGCCGCCCTTGTTCGAGAAAAGGTGTAAGAAAACGCGTCCGCGACCTTCAGCTCATCTGCTCGCATTAATTATGTATATATTGCCGGCCGGTATCTAATATATCTAAGTGATAATCATTACGAACAATTAAACATTAAAGTGAAAGTGACAGTGTATGATATAAGACTTTAGTTGCACGTGTATACATTCAACGGCATAACCAGCTCAGGAGCGTGCCAGCCACCCAGCACCATTCATTTATCATCTGCCCATCTGCATTCCAAGTAAGTGCACACCCTTACATTTCCTCTCCAATTTCGTTCAACCCGCACTTCAGCTCACCGTCGATTTGAGGCTTTCCCTCACATTTTCTGGCCCTTCGAGCCTCTGAACCAGCGACCCCTGCTCATTTTACGGTCCTTCGATTATAAGAAATAAGCCCCTATGGATAAACAGTGTCCTAAGACCGGGAAATAAACCCAACCACACCCATAAAGTTACCCACATTTCTCTCAACAAAATATTAAAATCTTTTAAATAGATAAAAACTTCTTAAGTATGTAATCATATAATCTCAGCCCATATATTAAAATTCATTAATACATATTTAACATTAACATTTATTAAAAAATAGTTCACATCTCCATACATTGTTTCTCTTTAAGTAGGTACTAAGCTAACGCTTTCGAATATAATATGATATCGAGTCACAAGTGTGTAAAATTGTTACAAAATAACGTCTCGTATTTCAACAAAAGTGTTTGATTGCATCATTTTTAAACATATAATATAATTAAAAGTTCATAAAAAAGTGTTAACAATCGGCTCAACACTGCCCTT